TGAATAATGAAAGATAAATAATTATGTGGTTAAAAGCCCAATGTATATGTATTAGGATTAGAGGTATAGTTGGCATGCCAAGAGTCGAGGGTTCTATGTGGTCATTCGGGACAATTATGTGGCCCTTCGGGATAATTATGTGGCACTTCGGTGCAAACGGTGTAAACTTATGTGGTCCTTCGGGACAATTATGTGGCACTTCAGTGCAAATTACGAGCTGTGGTGACAGCATTAGTGCACAACCTCAATGTACTCAAATACCTAGAGTTCTCAGTAGTATACGTTGGGCATTTGGAAACAAAGGTATATAAAATGAAGAATATATATAAGTATACCATCTTGTTATGAAAAATAGTTTGGAATTTATTATGAAATTTATCAATAAAATGAATAAAAATTTACTCTATAAAGTTTAGCACTCTTTAGTTTTGCCTCTCTAAGTTATCGACTTAGCGTGTGATTTCTTCACGCATAGGGTTGAAGAAATCATAAGGTTAAAGTGTTGAGGATAACATACTCACGTGCAGATCAAATCAATACAAATTGAATGTAGGTTTTATTTTTAAAGGTTTGTAAGTTGTTGGCATGTACTACCTGTTTAATTTCAAATGCTCTGATCTATTTTTGTAAATTGATACTTTTGTACTTATGTAAATTGTTAAAGCTTTTATTTAAATATGAATGTGAATTTTATTATCTTATTTTAAATTAAGGGTTTTGACCTTTCGTTTATGAATAAAAATTTAATTTGTTCTTATTTGTTAATTATCCATGATTTAAAAAGTCATTGTGACACCTCAAATTCGTATTCGGGTCGGATACGGGTCAGGGGTGTTACATTTAATGGTATCAGAGCTATGGTTTAATTGGTTTTAAGTTCGAAATAAAGTCGTTTTTGTTTTAAAAAATATACATGTCAACTTTTAATTAAGTCTTAATGAACTGATAAGGTGATTAGTATGCTATCCTTGCTAATAAATTAGTGAATTGATCTTCTTAGATGTTAGATTTTGAGGGCTTTCGAAGTGGAGAGGGAGATAGAATAGAAGAAAGTAGTAATTCTCCTGCCCCGAGTAGGTAGGGTGAGGAACAGGCACATCAGGGAGTGTCTGTGTAAGATCAGGAGACCTTCTTCCAGACGTTGGACGCGATTCTGACGCGTTTCTAACCGTATGCTCCCCCAGCCCTTAAGATGAATGTTCCTAAGGAGCTGAGAGCCTAGGAGCACATGAATTTAGAGCAGAAGCTAAGAAAGGTCCAGTTGTTTTCGATATGTGGCTCAATGACCTTAAGATAATGCTAGAGAATCTTCATTGTTCTAAAATGGAGAAATTGGATGGTTTAGTTTCGTTCCTAAGAGGTCAAGCCAGAATATGGTGGTCTAATGTGATAATGCGAGCTTCTAGGGACCAGGTGACTTGGTCATTCTTTTTGGAAGAGTTTAAGAACAAATACATCGGGGATCAGTTCATTTGGCAGATGAAGCAAGAATTTATGAGCTTAAAGCAAGGGAATCACACAGTATATGATTTTGAGTGCGAATTCAACAAGATGAGTCAATTTGTGGCAGAGTTAGTCCCTATAGAGAATGAATAATGTGATTGGTTTTTGGAGGGTTTACGACCTCGATTAAAAGAATTGATGTTGGCACTCAACCTCTCTTCATTCTAAGATGTAGTGAACAGAGCTAAAGCTCTAGAGCGAGCTCAAAACGAGAGGTTTGTGGAGAAAAGAACACAATGGAATAAGAGATCTAGTGTGTCGTCTAGTGCCTCCCAATCAAAGAAAAGTAGAGGTTCGAGTTCTCGACCTCAGACTAGAGCAAAATCTACAGCATCCTCAGGTAGAGGATCTAATCCGGGAAGAGCCAGACAAACTCACTCAGTGGAGTCTAGAGTGGATAAACCAAATCAATGTTAGCACTGTGGGAAACATCATAGTGGTGTATGCCGAAGAGTCTCCAGAACTTGTTTTAAATACGGAGAGACATGACACTTTATTTGAGACTTTTCACTAATGATGGGAGAGCCTGCTCAAACAGAATGATCCACTGCTACACCTATGAAAAGTAGAGGTTGAGGTAGAGGAATGAATCAATATGAGTCGACCGTTTAACCTGAAGTGTGCTCCATCACTCGAGTGTATAATTTAAAGACCAATGAAGATTATGATGATCCTAAAATCATTGCAGGTACTTTTTAGATAGTTGGTAACTCCGTTTTAGTTCTTATTGATCCGGGATCGAATTATTCTTATGTTAGTAGTAAACTGGTAAAAGACTTGATAATTTCATTAGAACTTATTCGTAGCAAGGTGATTGTGACTAATCTATTAGGACATAGTGCTTAGGTGAGATAGGTTGGTCGAGGGTTTCCCATATGGATTCAGGGATCCTTACTAATCTAATAAAATTACCCTTTGATGAGTTCGAGGTTATCCTAAGTATGGATTGACTTTATCATTATCATGCCAACGTGGATTGTCGACTTAAGCGAGCTATGTTAACAAGTCTTTATGGATTGGAGGTTAGTGGGGTCAGCGAGAGAATAAATTCCTTAGCTAATGTGATATCAATGATGGGTTAAGAAGTTAATACTACAAGGATGCCAAGCGTATATTGCTAATATAATTAATACTAGAGCAAAGGAAATGAAGCTTGAAGATATTTTGACAGTTAGAGAGTTTCCAGCAATATTTCCGAAAGAATTACCTGGTTTACCTCTAGATAGGGAGGTTGAATTTCAAATTGAAGTGATGTCAGAATCAACATCGATTTCAATGGCTCCTTACAGGATAACCCAAAAGAATTGAAAGAGTTAAATATTCAGTTATAGGAGCTTTTAGATAAGGGATTTATCAAACCTAGTGTGTCATCGTGGGGGTGCTCCAGTGTTATTTGTAAAGAAGAAAGACAATTCAATGCACCTTTGTATTGATTATCGACAACTTAATAAGGTGACCATAAAGAACAAGCATCCTCTTCCAAAGATCGATGATTTATTTGATCAACTCAAAGGGGTTGTCATGTTTTCAAAATTTGATTTACACTCAGGGTATCATCAGTTAAAGATTCAAGAAAAAGATGTTCCAAAAATGGCGTTTAGAACTCAATATGGTCATTATGAATTTGTAGTAATGCCATTTGGGTTAACTAATGCACCTGCAGTGTTTATGAATCTGATGAACAGAGTTTTCCAACCGTACCTTGATCAGTTTGTGGTCATTTTTATTGATGGCATTTTAGTGTATTCTAAATCAAAGGAGGAGCATGATGCCATATTCGTGTGGTTTTTCAAACGTTACAAGATAAGAAGCTTTATGCAAAGTTATCTAAATGCGAGTTTTGGCTAACTGAAGTGGTATTCCTTGGACACGTGGTTTATACAGAGGGAATTTGGGTAGATCCTCAGAAAGTTAAAGTTGTTTTAGAGTGGGAAATCCTGAAGAATGTGTCAGAAGTTTGGAGTTTCTTCGGTCTCGTAGGTTATTATCGAAGGTTTGTAAAAAACTTTTCGATGATATCTTTTCCTTTAACCAAATTGTTAAGAAAGGGTGTGTCTTTTGATTAGACTGTTGATTGTCAAAAGAGTTTTGAAGCATTAAAGAAAGTTTTGACAGAAGCTCCGGTGTTAGTGCAACCAAAATCAAACAATGATTTTATAATTTTTAGCGACACTTCCCATAATGGTTTGGGATGTGTTTTAATGCAAGATGGAAATGTAGTTGCTTATGCTTCAAGACAATTTAAGCCTTATGAAAAGAATTATCCAACGCATGACCTTGAGTTGGCAGCGGTGGTCTTCGTATTGAAAATTTGGCACCACTATTTATATAGTGAACGTTGCTACATTTTCATCGATCACAAAAGTTTGAAGTATTTGTTGTCGTAAAATGAGCTAAATTTATGGCAAAGAAGATGGATGGAGTTACTTAAAGACTATGATGTAATTATATATTATTATCTCGAGAAAGCCAATATAGTAGCTGACGCTCTTAGTCGGAAGACTTTTGTTTCTTTGCGTAGTTTGGATACCCGAATCATGTTAAAGGATAATGGTGTCAGAGCGGATTAATGAGTTACAAAAGAATGATGATAAGTGTTTAGTTTGGTTTGAGTAATTAGATAAGGGTGAACTCAAGGACTTTGATGTATGGTCGAATGAGTGTTTATATTTCAAAAATCGAGTTTGTGTTCCTAATGGTGATGAGTTGAGAAGAGAGATCTTGTATGAAGAACATTTTAGTCCATTAACTATTCACCCAGGAGGAAACAAGATGTATCAAGATTTGAAAGAGCATCTTTGGTGGCCAAACATGAAAAAAAACATTACGAAGTTTGTATCAAAGTGCCTTAATTGTCAATAGGTAAAAGCTGAACAACAAGTGCCTTCAAGATTATTGTAACAGATATTCGATTTGGGTAAACGTGGATCTCCTTACAAAGACTGCGTATTTCATTTCTATCCAAACGAATTTCTATATGGATAACCATGTTGAATTGTATATCAAGGAGATAGTGCGACTTCATGGTGTTCCAATTTCAATAGTTTCTGATAGAGATCCCAGATTTACTTCGAGATTTTGGAAGTCTTTGCAAGGAGCTTTGGGTACCCCACTAAGTTTTAGCATTGCTTTTCATCCTCAATTTGATGGACAATCAGAGCGAGCGATTTAGATTCTAGAAGATATGTTGAGAGCGTGTGTGATCGATTTTGTTGGATCGTGGGAAAAGTATTTACCGCTTGTTAAATTTGCATATAATAACAATTATCAATCAAGCATCAAGATAGCAACGTATGAAGCATTGTATGAAAGGAAATGCATGACATCACTTAATTGGTACGAATTAAAAGATCGGGAAGTTCATGGACCAGACTTGATTAAAGAAGTTAAAGAAAAGGTTCAGGTGATTTAGCATAACCTTAAAGTGGCATCAGACATACAAAAATCATATGCAGATTTGAAGAGAAAAGAAATTGAATTTCAAATAGTAGACAAAGTGTTCTTAAAAGTATATCCTTAGAAGAAAGTACCTCGTTTTGGGTGTAGAGGAAAACTCGGTCCTAGGTTCATTGGACCCTATGAAGTTTTGAAAAGAATTGGACCAGTGACATATTAATTAGCGTTACCCCCAGAGATGGAAAAGATCCATAATGTTTTTCATATATCTATGATTCAGCGATATCGATCAGATCCTGCACATATCCTAACTCCAGATGTGATAGAAGTTCAATCTGACCTGACTTACGAGAAAGAACCGGTGCAGATTCTAGTGTATGAAATTAAGCTGTTAAGGAATAAGACGATTCCTCTAGTTAAGGTTCTTTGGACAAACCATAAAGTAGAAGAAGCTACATGGGAGCATGAAGAAGATATAAGGAAAAAATATCCCACCTCTTTGTGCAATGAAAATTCTAGGACGAATTTTCTTAAGGGGAGATTTGTAACATCTCAAACGACAGGTCGATGACCAAAAAGGTAAGAAATGAAAGCTTGTATAGGAGTAAAACAACAAGAGGAGTGAATTAGAAAGGGATTTGTAAAATGGGTTTTGAAATGAATTGTTAATATGGTGTAGTTTTTGGAGTTTTATTAACATATTTGATTTGTCAATGATCAAACTAAAGCATTAGAATTAATAGAAATGATTAGGAACTTGGTTGAAATCATGATGTGATTTTTAGATGTAAGAGTTGTAGTGAGATTTTGTATGTTTAAGAGTAGTGAATGAAGACCAGTTGGTTTGGATGTATAAGGTTGAGTTTAAAGGATTAATGATGGATAAAAGTAAGAGAGTTAGGAAAATTTTGGTTGATTTTTGAATTGAAAATGACAATTTTGGGCGTGGAGTATCAATACTGGAAGAACAATACTGATACTTCAAGGAAAAATCAGATGAATTTGAAGAGTAGTATCAGTACTGGTTGAGTAAGGTATCGATACTGAGTTGGGAGTATCGATAACAAGGGTATGGTATCGATACCATTTTCGAGACAAATTTCCAGAATGTTAAAATTGTATCGGTACCAAAGGGGGTATCGATACCATTGAAGGGAAGTATATGTATTGTAGTGGTAGTACCGATACTACTAAGTATTAAATAAGACATTAAGTGTTTCTTTCAGCATAAGTTATTATGATTGGATATAAGTGATTCGAAGTACGATATTGATTTTCGATTATTTTGTGTAGTTGTTGAACATAATCAACTTCTGTTCAGCTCGACATTATAAGTTTCAATCGAAAGTATTAAGGACTTCATTTATGACTGCAGTGAGGCAAATGTGAGTTCAACTTCTCAGTTTCGTATTAGATTTGAGGAAGGCTTGCGATAAGCCAACCTCAGTGTTTTCGATCGAAAACCTTTGAATTTCTTTTTTTATATTTTACACTGTTTTACTTAAATTATATTATGTAAGCTATGTTTTATGATTATGTGTATATGTTTATAGAAATGTGATCTTTGAGAATGTGTATCTGAAAAGACCCAATGTGAAAGTGCATATGTGAATAAGAGATACTTTGAATAATGAATGATAAATAATTATGTGGTTAAAAGACCAAGGTATATGTATAAGTATTAGAGGTATAGTTGGCATGCCAAGAGTCGAGGGTTCTATGTGGTTCTTTGGGACAATTATGTGGTCATTCGGGACAATTATGTGGCACTTCGGTGTAAATTACGAGCTGTGGTGACAACATTAGTGCACAACCTCAATGTAATCAAATACCTAGAGTTCTTAGTAGTATACGTTGGGCTTTTGGAAACAAAGTTATATAAAATGAAGAATATATATAAGTATACCATCTTGTTATGGAAAATAGTTTGGAATTTATTATGAAATGTACAATAAAATGAATAAAGATTTAATCAATAAAGTTTAGCACTCTTTAGTTTTGCCTCACTAAGTCATCGACTTAGCGTGTGAATTCCTCGCGCGTAGGGTTGATGAAATCTGCAGGTTGAAGTGTTGAGGATATCATACTCTCATGCAGATCAGATCAATACAAATTAAATGTAGGTTTTATTTTTGAAAGTTTGTAAGCTGTTGGCATGTACTACTGTTTAATTTGAAATGCTCTGATTTATTTTTGTAAACTGATACTTTTACACTTATGTAAATTATTAAAGCTTTTATGTAAGTATAAATGTGAATTTCATTATTTTATTTTAAATTAAGGGTTTTCACCTTTCATTTATGAGTAAAAATTTAATTTGTTCTTATTTGTTAATTATCCATGATTTGAAATGTCAATGTGGCACATCAGATTTGTATTCGGGTCACATACGGCTTAGAGGTGTTACATGTTAGTAATCATAAATGAATTAATCGAACATAATACAATTTATCGATAAAACCTACCCCACATGCTGGCTACCCAATCATGCTTTAATAGATCCTACTCAAACATGATTTCTACCCACATGCTTAGTTTGAAAATTAAAAACCAAACCTCATGATGTCTAGTTCACATGCTTATTCGAGAAAAATAAACCTAACTGCATGATTTTTAGTTCGCATAAATTTATTCAGAAAATCGAAATTAAATGACTCAAAAAACTTTTCCTTTTGTACCCTTCTCACGGGACTCTTAAGGTTTGGGTTAGACTCTACCTAGGTTAGGGTTCTAAGTTCATTATATTTTGGGTTGGGTTCTAAAGTAATAGGTTCTCGAATTGTCCTTGTCGGTGCCCCCTTGGGCTACCGAACCCTTAATATTGGCCTATCACAGGTTTTTGGGGATCGAGTTTAATTCGAGAGAACACACCTTCTTATGTCCGTGTGGAGGTGCATACCATCATGTGGACCATAAGGCATGAGCTCCAAGAGCGATTCACTATCCCATGCAGAGGTGAAAACCATACGAGGGAGTAGTTTCTCCCTCTTACTTAAATTGGACAGAGCGGGGTTTTAGCTCATGTTATGAAAATGCAATTGTGCAGTGTGTAAGGAAAAGCGAAAATCACACATCACAAAACACTCAAATCAATTCCCAAATTCTTTTAAAATACACAATTAATCTAAAAACATTAGCAAACACACCAGTACAACTATTTAGTGGTTAATCAAAATGCAAATCCAAATGCAAACAAAAGTTTATTTAAAACCAAACAACTGATCAAAAACCAAATTAGAACGAATTTATAATTTTCATTTACAAAGACAATTAATTAATCGACCATCGGCCTGACTTTCTAAAAAAAGGTCCCCAGCGGAGTCGCCAAGTTGTCGAAATTATATTTTCTCGGGGGAAAAAAGGGGTCTCATTTCGAAAATAATTCTTTGGAATGATTGATTAATGATAAAAACGTGGTTCAAGGAGTCGCCACCAATCTTTGATTAGGGTGTGATTGGGCACCCAAAAATAAAATTTCCATTTTAATAAAATATTAAGTTTAATTAAAATGACAAACTTGCGGTCTGCATTACCAAAATTTGAGTTCGTGAGTCGATTACGTGTGGGGGAAGGATTAGCACCCCCACAACGCCCTAAATTGGTACCTAGTCGATTAATTAATTGTTTTTGCAATGAAATTTACAATTTCGAGTCTAATTTAATTTAAGATCCCCTAAAGTAATATTCTTTAGAATTTTGGATGAAAGATAATAATATTTAATTATTTCCTATCGAGAAGAATCAATCTCCCATACCTTAAAGCAATCGATTTTTACTCCAATCGAAATAAAGAAATATTAAAATTCCATTCTAAATTTAGCTATCAAATTCAAAATAATAACACCCAAAATAATTTTAATAGTGAAAATGATAATATCTAATTATTTTCAATCGAGAATAAATGACCTTTTGTGCATTAAAACTATCACTTATTACCCCAATTGAAATAAAGGGATATTACTATTTCGTCTTAAAATTACATAGCGATTCGAATGAAAACGATAATATCTAATGGTTTCCAATCGAGAATAAATTACCTCTCATACCTTAAAGCAGTCATTTATCACTCACACCGAAAAGAAAATATATTACTATTCTCAATGTCGATTCGAACATTATTGTTTTGAAAATTTATCGGAAAACACATGCAAAAGTAAAACAAATAAAAATATGACAAACAAGGAATTAATTATTTACTTTACCGATATTTATTGAGAATAAGGATGTTCAATTATTTAAATATCTCAATATGAGACCTTATATTTGATCTAACAGTCTTTTCTAAATGAATTTAATTAAAAGAACATTGTATTTTTCTCAATCCCCGAATTTTAACAATGAAATCTATTTAATTTGTGTCACTAAATTGGATAAACTTTCATTTTAAAATTATGGAGAGTAACTTTCTTCTACATTAAGACAGTCACTTTACGACAATATTAAAATGATCGTATATTGCTCTTAGTCAATTTATTTTGATTCAAGTCAATTAATTTAAAAGGATATCATGCAAATTAATTAAAATAGAATCTAGACCTATATACATCAAATAATATATTTACCTACATAGCATACCTAAAAAATAATAATACAATTAATATATATATATATATATATATATATACAATTTTGATTTCCAAGTCATCAAAGCTTACTACATGTTTCACTTGAGAATCAAGGGTTAGGGTTTTGAGCTTATGAAGGGCAATAAGATTTTCATGTCATTAAAACCTAATAAAACCTAACATAATGTGTGTTACAATAGTTTAGTCTTCAAGTTAGTTTGGCAATCAAAATTGTAACAAATAAGATACGTGGAGTCCATTGAGATTATTTGCAACTTGAAGTGACCTCTAAGGCGTGTAAACAAGGTCTAGACATAGTCAAAACCATCTAGATGTACTTAAGTAACCATTTGAAATGCGAAAGTGTCCCAATAGATCATGCCAGTAATTGATCAATGACAAAATGGATTGAATTAAAGAAACGAAAATGAGAGAGGGAAAAAAACTAAATAAAAAAGTGATTTAGCTGAATTCAATAATTGTTCATTCAATTTTATTTTTGTACCCTAAAAAGAAGAGTTATTTTATCCTAATCTATGCCAGAGTT